TATTGAACTCGCCGTATTTTTTATACTCCCTGTAAAGAGTATCTTTAACGATTTCATCGGAAGCCTTAGGATGCAGTGCGCTAACACATAGCACTTTATAGTAAGGACGTACGGAATCTTCACGAATCTCCCTAGAACGTACATAGTCATCACGATGAGGCGAAACATACCGACCTCGGGGACTGGGCGATCGCACGCGACGACGAATGCGCTCCGGCGTAACGCGTTCATCTGAACTATCGTCATAACGACCTATACTACTACGCGTCCTCTTCGATCGCGGCATACTATCCCTTGACGAGCTTCGCTTCATGTTACGAATTTTCACCGTTATACGATCTCTATCTCTATCGCTACGCGGTAATCCAATCATGAAAGCTCAGTTTGGTGAACCACTATCTGAAATGCACAACATTACACGTCACTTTCAAAATGTCGCCCGTTCCTGAAGAAATTGTATAACACTGCACGTTACAAAGTTATCAAGTCTTACCACAAACTAACGCGACCAATGTTCGCTTAAATCACAACACCTCAAATCAATGAAACAAACGATATCTTCCGAGGAACACTATAAAATATAAAAAACGCTTCACTGCAAAGAGACTCACACAATAGAAGACAATCATAAGATACAAAATGGACGCCGGTCAGACGTATCCGTATCCGTAACCAGCCGTAATTCCGGTCTACAGTGTTTCCAATAAAAAAAAACTGTCTTTAGCCTATAAGGTTTGCGATTTTTTGGTAAAAGGAGAATAATCAAAGTGCAAATAAAATGGACTTCATTTAACGAAAGCATTGAAACGATTGATATCGTATGTATATAAAAAAGGAATTGTGAATTATCCAATGTCAAAAAACAAATATTTGGGTTCGGCCAAAAGATTAGCAATTTTTTTTTGCGTAAATCTGTGGCAAATTTTTAATTTGATAACATTAATTGATTGGCTTTATTTTTAGATGGCAATAATAGTGGTGTTACATTTAAAAAAAACATATGCATTTAATTTCAGGATTAATATGCTGTTAATTTACATAGTACACTTACTATGTATTTTAATTGCACATGCATTTGTATTCGTTTTAACACCAATTTGAAATATAAAGTAATGTCTTTAAAACATTTTTAGAGCACACATCTGTTGAGTCGAGTTCGAATCCACTTCATTTTATTTAATTTTCATAGGTAGCCACACTGTCGTAACAAGTTGACAAGTCCAAAAGTTCAAGAGAAGTATTTTTAATGTTAATATTTATATTTAAAAACGAATTATTAATTTACTTCAAGTAAGATATTAATTGAATATTAAAAATTCAAAGTATTTGATTCCTGGATCTCTCTGTAAGCTAATGTAAAATATAATGGCAATACATTTTAGAAAAAATATTAATTAAGTGTTTTGAAAATAGTTTTAGTGGCGAGAAATTAAAAACATAAACAAAATAAACAAACTAGTGTTTTAAAAGTAACATTTTGAGATCTTGAAGTACTATATTATGTGCTTAATACTAGTAACTTAATACTTTACACACAATGGACATAATAATTAAAGTAAACAACCAGTCTGTGGGAAGAGACAAAATAGCCAGGTCAGTGATACTATTTTTTTTAATGTTGTATTGCATTTCATCTAATAATCGATGTGTTAATCTGCTGCTAAACCCTTTTTTTAATTTATCAAAGCTATTACAATGTGGTTTTAGAGTCAATAGTGTATAAAGTATTTTATATGTTACAGGTTATTGCAATATACAAGTCGGCTTGTTTGGCATCAGCTTGAATCCAGAAATGCTAATAAATACTCTGTTGACAGAGTGAAAAGTTTAGAAAATACTCTCAGCTCATTTAGAAAAGGTAAAATATTACAAAGTAACATATTTAATATTAAGAGTACATTTAAAGTTTATTTTTATTAAGTAATTGTTACCCATGACACAATCTGTGCACAATTACAAAATCTTTTATTATTAGCCTGTGTTCTTCCAGACTGTTCTATTTTATGCCAAGTTACATAAAGACATTCTGGAGATATGTAGTTATAAGCAATCACCCATCCATCTCAACTTACACAGATGTGTAAGATAAAATGAATTATCATTTTTGTTACAGTTCTACGACTGGGAAGGTGTATAGACATTTTCTATACTGCCCTCAACACCATACATATTGAAGATCCTATTTTACGTTTTACTCTGACAGCAAGTAAATTAGCTCATGCCTTATACCTTTATGCGGACCACATTGTGTGGTTATCAAAAAGTGGCTTTCTAAAGTCAGATTCAAACGGCTGGAGTCAAACTGCAAACCGATTCTGGCTGTTATCAATTATTGCAAACTTAGCAAGAGATTTCTATGAAATAATGCATGTTTTAGATTTCAAAAAATCTATGTTCTTAAAACCTTCCGATTTAATTAATGGGTCTGTCAGGAATTTTGATTTTAATTCTAGTTTAAAACACCTTTATGCAGTTCTCAGTTGTCATAAAGATATATTTATTGATACAGCTAAAAATTCATGTGATTTATTCATTCCATTAACTGCATTAGGATATACAAAATTGAGTCCAAGTACGGTTGGGGTTTTAGGAGCTCTGTCATCTCTTGCTGCATTAGTTACTTTAGTAAAACCTATCACTAAATTAGTGCCAGCCTAAGTGAATCTTATAGAACATAATATCAGTGTTACCTTCCTATCATTATCATCACCATCATCATTTTAATGGTGGTGGTGAACTGTTATTTGGAAAAAAATTTGCAGGTTGTGATATCTATAAATTGTATGTTACACAATAAAATGTGTTTTTTGTTTTTATGGTACTGGGATTTTTTAATTAATATTATTACTTCTAGACATAATTGTCTTATTGTTATCCTTTATTATAATAATTATGAAATAATATCCAATATATGTTTTCCTTGAGGTAAATTGTAATAAACACATCCTTATGTATGGTCCCCTACCAGTCTGTGTAGTAAACATTGATGATTTTGTATTGATGTAGATACTGTTTTTTTTTTCATTAGAATGTAAAGTTACATTGCCACATTATGTGTAAGAAATATAGGTAGTCAATAATTAGGCTTAATTAAATATATTCTTTTGATGTTTTTAAGAATTATTATGTAACAAATATTGGGAACAGTTGTGTTATTTTGAAAAACTTTTTTAAATGTTATTATATGGGGTTTTGTTATAAGAATAAAAATTATTGATAACATTTGTTTTACTTCCACACGTTCCGTTTACCTCATTGACCTTTTTATCTTGAACATTTTTTTATACTACTATCTATTTATGGTTAATAAAAGAAGATGGTTACTGTAAGTTCAGTGGTCTATTTTACTGATAAAATGTATGCTTTGTGAAGGATTTTGAACATAAAATGAAGGAAGAAGTTATATATCTATTGTATAACTATTTCTATCTTTGCATATTTTAAATTATGAAATCGCGTAAAGTAACTGCAATAAATGTTTTTTATTTAAAAACAAAATATTGCACGGAAGAATTTTTAGATTCCCTTCATCCGTAACTAATGAAATATAATGTTTGCAACACTGTCTATTATGTCATCCTTGAGTTGAAGTTTATAATTATAACCTAAAACTCTTATACCAAAAAATTATAAATATTACATTATTTATTTGTTAATAAGTTATAATGGCTCGTAATTTAGCCGATAATGTAAGAAAACTCTTATTGCTTGGACAATGTGTACCTACTGTCAAACAAAATGCTGCTAAAATCAGAGTTAAGCGATTGGAATTAGATGAGAATTTATTAATGGTTTGTATTATGGATTTAACAAGTTATTATTTATAAACAGTAATTACTATTTTTTTTTCAAAGTAATAACAATCAAAATAATATAAAACTAATCTTTGTCACGTGATTAACCATGTAAATAAACAATGAATAAAATAACTCTAATGGAGTGTTCAGTTTTTTAATATTTATCGTTATACTTTTTGGTTATTTCAGTACTTCAGAAAAGATGAATTCTACTACTGTTCAGATCCAGATAAAGTGTGTAAAACAGGAGATATTGTACTCATAGAAGCTTTACCTCAAAAACTAACAAAACTCATCACCCATCAAGTTAAAGAGGTTGTATATCCATTTGGCGATATTACCGATCCTGTTACAGGCAAGAAAGTAGCAAAAGAAAGATACAGAGATGATATTGAGAAACAGTCTGAACTGTATGGGAAGTTGGAATCAACATTTAATTACAAGAAAGCACCGCCCAGAGGTTGGCAAGATGGAAAGAAAGATTTTACTTCCAAGCCTACATACACCAAATTCCATGTATTTGATGAAAATGATCCTTATGCTATTTAAATTTACCTTAATCTGTAGAATGTAAATAATTATAAGTAGTCAAGTATAAAACATTTGTTTTACTATTTTATTAGTTTGTCAACTAACTAGTAGTAATAAAAGCTAAAATACTTCAGTGTTGTTTTGTTAGTTTATGAAACCAATCCTAGCAAATTGTAGTACATTTAATCTACTGATATTATAAAGAGAAATGATTTGTTTTTTTTTGTATGTATTGAAATAACTCAAAAGCTACTGGGACGATTTTATATTTAACAATGAAGCAGCTATATCACTGAGTAATATATTTTTAAATTTAATGAGCAACAACTAGTAAGCTATAATTTGGTATGCTTAGTAAAAAAGACTTAATATTTGCTTCTGTACCCTTTAAATAACGTTCACTAGCCTCAAAAGTATATCAAAGTTAGATATTATCTATAGACATTAATAGCAACAAATTTGAGTCAAGCACTTCACTCTTCTCTCTTGGATGTGCTTTAGAAGGTTTAATGATAAATAAAACATATAAAACAAAGAGAAATGTATTGCGAAATATTGCTATATAACTTATTAATTAAGACTGGCATCATTCTGCCAAAAACTCCCGCTCCAGTGCTGCACCCATGAGGTTCCAAGAACTGTCATCGTCGTCTGGAGGTACATCATCCGATGACCTTCGCCGTCGCTTACGTGGCCGTGGGTTCTCTAAAGTGATAATTAAAATCCAATAAATATGTTACCTTTAAGATAAATATTTCTATTTAAAGTCACACACATTTTTTAAATTAAATTATCTCTCCATTGTCATATTAAATTTATTATACAGATTACTAAAGTTTTTCACATTTATCTATAGGTATAATACAGCTAGTATTATTTGTTACTTTAGTTGTTTATTTTAGTTTACTATTAGTTGCTACTTCATCAACGTAAATAAGAACATATGGCCTATTTTATTCAGCAATGTAATATTATAAAGAGGAAAGATTTGTATTTTTTTATTTATTAGAAAAAACTACTGGGCCGATTTTAAAAATTCTCTCACCATTTAAAAGGTACATTATCAGTGAGTAACATAGGCTATATTTTTTTTAGTTGCATGCACACCTAGTAAAAATAGAATTGACTTTACCTTCATCTGAGTCACTTGATGCATTAGGATCTTGTGATTTCCCTTGTGAGCTATCCGACTCTAGCGACAGTAGTTTGTCCTCGGGTGGATTTTCTTCATCATCAAGGTCATCTTGCATTTTATTAGTTTTCTCTTCGTCCTCCGAAGATGCGCTCTCATCTGATTCATTGAAAATATCCTCCACCTAGTGAGGACAAAAATATTTATGGATTTTTTAAATATAGTCAGATTCCATTGAAATAATAATACTTTCATTGGCTGACAATGTCTTTCATTGTAAATGAATTTATGTGGAACATTTTGGTAGTTTGGAAGGCATAGGCAGGGGACAAAGTTTCCTTCAGATATGGATATTCACAGGTTATATATTGTTATATTTGCTGCATCAGTGACTCCTGATTGTTTGTCAACTTATCTTAAATTATAAATGCAGCAGTTTAGATAGATGGATGTTTGTTACTACAAATCTTGGAAATTGCGGAATGGATCTTGATAAAATTTAAACACACAGTATATTTACAGATATCAGTCAATGGTCTCGATATAAAAAACATATTGAAAACGTCAATTAGTAGTAGTAGTAGGGGCTACAGTTTCCGCAACTCCACGGCTAACGCGTATTTTATGTGAATTAGCAGAACAGTAAAGAAGGACTTACCTCTCTATCCATGTCAGCGATGTCATCGCTGGAGAAGGAGAGCAGAGGATTGATGGTGTCCATGAAGCGGCCCGAGGGCGTGCGGCGGC